TCAAACAACACAACGGGGTTCTTTAAATCCACTCACCACCAACACTTGAGTTTGTAACATTGGTGCATTGCATTTTTCTTTTAGTTTGTAACTTTAATTAACTTTGAATTGGATTTTTCCTTTTAGTTGTAACTTTAATTCATTTTGCTTTGCATTTTCCTTTTGGTTTGTAACTTTAAAGGATTTGGAATTGGAATGCTTGAGAAGTTTAACTTTAATTGGAATGCTTGGAATTGTAACTTTAATTTTTTTTAGGTTGTGAATGCTTGAGAAGTTGAGGAGATTGTAAATTTATATATGCTTGAAAAGTTGAGGTTGTATATTTATTTATTTAGGTCGTGAATTTATATTTTTATGAATGCTTGAGAACTTGCAGTTTTAAACTGCTAATTCACGGTAACCTACTGCTTTTTGTGGTTTCAAAAATCACCATACTGCAAATAGTCGGTCGGTTTGCGGTTTGAGCAAAAAATTCGCCGTTACCGAACTGCAACCACCCCTAGTATTAAATTGCTTAAGTTTTTCTAATATATTTTGCCCCACGAGTCTTAGAGATATACGGACCGTGGGAGCGAGGATTGCGGATTAGGTTGACCAAATGTCTCTTGAGTCTAGCGAGAATTATAGGGCAGGACGTGTCACTAATGGTGTCACGAGGAAATGGATAGTTATGGCTTTCCAAGTGCGATTACCTTAATCTAAATGCTTTTAATTATTCAATTAATTATATATTGCCAAGTGAGTAATGCCAAGAAGCTTGGAACAGAAGGCTGAGATGAAATATGAGAATTACATGTGGCTTGATCCCTCAATAAGGGTACGTAGGCAGCCTATGGTTATAAAGTACAGCCATGAATTAGAATGTTGAGAATACCAATGCATTACTGTTGTTCTGAAAGTTGAGATGCATTTTATTAGCAGATTGATTTATTTGATTGGTTGTAACCTGATACCAGAATATTATGATGCTTACTTTCTTTGGATATAATTGAATGCATACTGAACAAAAGTTTGATGATATGTGGAAATTTTGGGAAATGAGCGAATTACAGGAAAACTCTGCCGAATTTTTGACAGAAGTCAATCTAGTAATAAAATGGATTTTTTTAAGTTGGAAGGGCGATTTGGTCATTTACACCTGGCACCCTCCAGGTGTCGGACACACACGGGGTTCGACTAAGATTCCAAAGTAGAATTTGAGTCGGGTCCTATCACTAACAGCTTAAATATTTCAACAACTATATTTTTAACAGTTATATTCCTCAACAGCTATTTTCCTAACGGCTCAATTATTTCTGAACTACTATATTCCTAATGGCACAATGATTTCCAACAGCTATATTTTTGTACTTATAAATATGTCTTCAGATTTCTTGTAAAATAAGAACTGAACATATTCATCCAAGCTTACAAGCATTCATCATACTATGAACATCATTTTTTTTTTAGCCAATCATGTTCAAATTCATACAAGAGTTCTAGTGTTCGAATTACTTCTGTATCACCTACTCAGAAAGGAGTGTTGTCATTGTGTGAGCATCAATTGTATATCCCTCTCAAATAGGAGAGATTTTTTGTTCCGAGAGTTGTTTCATTCAAACTTGTAAAAGGGGTTGGTTTGACCCTATGAGGTGAGAAGAGTGTCTTCCACCTTGTGTGTTAGAGTGGTGTGCTCTAGCAGTGTAAAGGTTTCAACTCCACCTACAAGGAGTTTTAACTCCACCTACAAGGAGTTTTCCAACATAGTGGATCGAACTCTCAAGTGGTGTGCTTGAGGACTAGATGTAGGTCGGTGGATTGAATCAATATAAATCTCTGAGTTTGAATCTCTCTTTCTCTATCTCTTTAGTATTGTGCTTGTCAATTTAGTTATCCGCATTTAAATTTAAATTTGCAATTAACCTTATTCCCCCCCCCCCCCCTTCTTTCTTCTAAGGTTGATTCTCTGGGCAACACGGATTTATGTGGCTACACACCATTTGTTGTACCTTCCCCTTGGTTTGATACGGAAAGGATGCTAGAATTATGGAAATGAATTAAAGTTGGTCTTTGGGACCCTTCAGGGCACACATATACTCTTTGCACGTGCGATGCAAGTCCCGGCGTGCGTGCTAGGGAGCAATAGTCCCCCGGTTGGACTGCTCATCCCTAGCTACCAGGTGCCTAAAACAACTCTCTCTAAATCTTTTTATAAGTGAGTCATTGAAATGCGCCCGAAAATTACACAGGACTGTATTCGCCACATTCAAATTATTCACCCACGCAAAATAGACCTCTCACTCTGAGAAACATTGCTCAAACCCAGATTCCATTTTATACGTGCAACAAACACCTTTTAAATAAGAAAGAGAAGTGATACCTACTCACAATATTATGAACACAATAAGATGCATAAGTGATACCTACTCACAATATTATCAACATATTAAGATACAGAATTGATACCTACAAACACTATTTTCAACACATTAAGATACAAAACTGATATTTACTAACACTATTTTGAACACATTAATATACAAAATTGATACCTACTAACATTATTTTCAACACATTAAAATACAAAACTGACACTATTTTTAGCACATTAAGATACAGAATTGATACTTACTAACACTATTTTCAACACATTAAGATACAAAACGGATACCTATCAACAATATTTTCATCACATTAAGGGTAACTGATACCTACCAACCGATGTGGGATTCAATATATATTTACATAGCATCATACAAATAGAAACAAGGTATGCAAATGCTTTCTTGACAAGATGCATTGATCCTTATGCATCCCAAATCATCTCATATTCACAGTTTAGATCTTCAATTTTCTCGTATGCATTCTACTTCTAATGGTACTTATTAGTTGTTTTCCAAGCCTCATTAAATCACTAAAATGATGCCCTACACTCACACCACTAGATAGGCAAAGCAGGATGACAAGCAAACAGATAAAGGTTCCTGGAATTTTAAGAAAAGACAAGCAAGAAGTAGGATAAGCAAAGCAGCAACTACAAATCTTGAGGGATCTATGATGCAGATTAACTAGGAAGAAGCAACAGCCGTGAATCTGCACTTCAACAAATTACGACAAACAATAGCAAAAAAAAGCCAAATTTTGGAAAAAGGAAATAATATTTAAACAGCAGATAGAGTTACTATGCTTAACGTGTTGAACTAGTTGAAAAATGCATGAAAGTTCAACTAATGCATAGTAGAGAAACAGTAATTTTAAAAAATTCAACCCCAAGCAAAATCATAATGCCTACACACTAACAAATTAGAAACTAGAAAACACAACACACAAAGCAACTGAAGCCAATTTATATTTTTGAAAACACAACTAGTACCGAGAAAGAGTAGTCTTACCCAAAAAATCAAAGCCTTAAAATCCTAAACCTAGAAAATCAAAGCCCTAAAATCCTAAAAAAAATTAAACATTAAGTAAATGCAAACCTTAATATCAAAGAGAGAGAGGGAATTCGAGAGAACCGTATCGATTCTGACCAAAGAAAATAGGGGATTGTATTGAGAGAGGATAATCTTATTGAGATGAATAAGAGGGAGTCTTAAAAAAATGAATTCAAAGGCAGGGGGATTGGGCAGGATTGGAAAAAGCATGGCAGAGCACGTGGGCTAAGGGGAAAGTGCAATGTACTCGTTTGTATTGTAAGCTTGCTTTTTCTCCTCAACCGTTCAGATGGCTTTGCATGGCTAGGATTAATTCTTGTATAATGTTCTCATTTTACCGTTCTCACCTGATCCGAGCCCCAACTTTAATTGCATTGTGGGCTTATATCGCATATAATGTGCATCGATAGACACAAGGTTGAAACTAGTATATAATTTATGGTCGAATGAAGTCCAAGAAGACTTTTGAGTGAAATGAAAAATCAATACAGTAGTGACCTTTTAGTCCAGTGCCCTAAAAGTCACTTTTGGTTCTTGTAGTTTGACACTTTAACCACTTTTGACCCGGTAGTTTAAATTCCGTCAGTTTTGACCATATATTTTCATATTTATAGTAAGTCAAGGGCAAGAAGTTAGTATTCATGTTAATTTCTTTGATAGTGCAAGGGACAATTTAGTCAACCTAAAACCCACGAGTGTAAAAGCTCGTATTAAACTCTCCCTATTTCATATTAAGGCTTGAAATTGGCCATTTGAGTATAGGATTCTTAAAAAGTTGGGATTAATGGTTGAATTTTGAGCCCTAATATAAAATTGGCCATTTGAATTGACGAAATTGCCCCTTGCACCGTCAAAGAAATTGACAAGAACACCAACTTGTTCCTGAATTACTACAAATACAAAACTACAATGACAAAATTAACAGAATTAAAACTACAGAGTCAAATGTGGTTGAAGTGCCAAACTATATGGACCAAAAGTAACTTTTGGCCTTTAATTTTATTTTCACTTCTTATAATGTTCATATTGAGGCATGTATCTGAAGAATGATTTGTAATTAAATAACAAGTTCAAACTTGGCAAGATGCATACCAATATAACATACATCAAACATCAATGATCAAACTTGCTCATTGATATTGCAATACAAACTTAATGAAAGTTGTGGTTGCAAGGACGTGACAACTTCTAATACAAGACGCCCCTGGAACCAAATTTTAAGCTATAAAAGAGACACTGAAGCTGCTACAATGTAGCACAACTTTTTGGGTCTCACTGGTACAGTACAAGTTGCTCTAAATATTCATGGCTTGTGAATCTAGAAGGAAGTATTAACGAGATACACAAGACTTCTACAATCAGCTAACCCAAAAGTGACTGATCCTTTTTCTTTCTTTTTTCACAAAGAAAGGACTAATGAGATGTCAAGAATCTTATACAATGAGCTAGCTAACCTACAAAGTGATGGACAGGAAAATACAATTATATGCATCCCAAGGTGAGAACAGGAGAAGAAATCATCAATTGAATTACTGGCATCACCTTAGAAATAAAATAAAAAGATAATAATTGCTGAGAGACAGAATATGTGAAGTATACAATCATATCATGGTGTGCAGCAACTGGAAGAAAAGATAAGCTACAGTCAAAATTCCAAAATAACATTAAAGGCATAAACAACAAAACATAAATATTGACTTTGAAGAAACGACTAATCACCACAACACACCATCTCCGTAGAACCTAACTTCATGCTCAAAAGCGGAACTTTGTAAACAGAACAAAATCAGTTCATCTTAATACAGGAAAGAGCTTAATTCCTCCCACAATGTATCAAGCTCCCAGCACCTAAGAAAAGACCGAACAGAGCTGCACTTGAAAGCGTTGTTTGTCCAACGTGCCTGATCTTCAGAAGCCCTGGCATCTGCATCAGCCAGAAGATATTTATGTCTAATTTCTCATTTGGCCAAGCATATATGGTACAATAAGCTCAATCATTATTAAGCTATGAGAACTACAACTACAGTTGATCCAGCAGTAACAGCTTAGTTAGAAAAAGATATATACCCTTTCAAACTGATTGGCAAAGCTTGCCAACAAGGCCTAGGATATTTCTTTTCTAACCAAGCTATAGCCTCTGCTTCAGTCAATCTTAATGTGAATGCTGTTCACTTTGTTTCCAGAGATACAACACTTTACCAATTGAGCTACCCCTTTGGGTTAAAGTTTTCTTATACATTCTTTTTTTTTTTTTTTTTTTTTTTAATAAGAAAAAGTTTTCTGATACTATTGACAGAATATCTTTTGAAGAATCAAAACCATGAAATTTCCAAACCTTGTGAAGACATTTAACAAATACTTCAAGGATTAATAAACTTTTTCTAACTAAACGCCATTATATTGGAGAGAACAATCGTTCTAAGGTCACTTCAGCAGACCTTCTGGAGCACCATTAAAACCATTTCAGAGAACGCACTTTAGATAACTTTTTTCTGTTATTTGACTGTTCTCTTAAAGATTTTTATGCTTTCGCCAAAGAAAAAGATGCAGAATATTGGAGAAGCATAAAAAAATTTATTCTTCCAAAATAGACTCTTTGCAAAGGTGTACTTGTAGCAGCTATGCCAAATGGACTCTAGCTTAAATAATTTACATTGATCAACCAAGGAATCCAATTTGTTTGAACCAAACTAAAAAAACAAAATAATTTTGAGACCTTAAGAAAAAGAACATAAATCCTTCATCTAGGTCTTCTTATATATAAATAAAAAAAAGACAAAAGATGATAATGACTACAAGCTCTTGAGTGGAAGTTCAGCATGAGATCCGAGAATGTACCTTAAACCTTATAGCCTCATATGTCCCATACACCGAACCTGTACATACACATAAAAATATGACTGTATAACATTATGCAAATGACAAGGGTTAGAATTTCAAATCATGAACTAGTGATACAAGAAAAAACAAACATATGTTAACCCCTTTTTTCTCGAGCTAGCTGACTAATTTATCTTAAGTGATTTCCATCCTAGTTTTCATGGAATTGTGGCCAGAAAAGCTCTAGGAATTTTAGTAGAGGCAAAAATAATTGTGGCCGGAAAATATCATCTTCTAATTAAGTATCAAGCTCAGCATAAAACATTACAACAACAAAATGCTTTAACAAGAGCCCACCTACCATATACATATGCATCACGACGACACGGGAACATAACAAAACAGACTGAGCTATATCTATACAACAAGAATGTGCGCATATTTTAAGAGTAAAACTTTACCTAGTGACTGAAGACCCCCTGAAAACAAGTGTCAGAAAAAACCCCAATTTACAATAAAAACTAGAATGCCTCTAAATCGCTTTAATTTCCCCAGGCACATCAAAACAAACATAAGAACAAGCATTTACACGTTCCAAAAACATTCTTATAAATAAAATCCCAAGTGCCCAGATGAACAAAAAAGAAACTTGTAAAAGAGAAAAAGCACGATTCCACAAACCAAGATATGCAACAGATCAAAACAGAAAGAAAAAAACACAAAAATTAGGAAACATTTACATGTTCCTAAACCCTAACGCTAGAACAAAAGCAAGGGTTTCGAATAAAATTTGAAAAGGGATTTTAGAGAATTACCGACGGCACCACCGATGGCTCCACCGATTGCAGCTCCGGTTGCCACGCGTGTCAAGCAGCTATTTTCCTTAGCCATATCTGTCTGTGTCTCAAGCCTTTTGAGAATGCGTTTAAGCTTCTTTTGACTGAAGAATGATGATGATATGGAGAGAGAAAGTGGGTTTAGGGTTTTATTTATGGTTGATTTGGAGGAGAGGAGAGGAGAGGAGAGGAGGGAGGACGGGGAGTGGGGCTCAAGTTGCTTGGCCAGCACACACGCAGCACGCAGCAGACCTTCCTAACTTGGACTTGGCGTCGTATCTGCTGTATTTGGATAAATCTTAAACACTTTAACTGAAAACCCTATTTTATTTATTTTTTGACCCAAAATTTTTTTAATTTAATTTATGAGGGAAATTGAAAATGAAATCGAACCAAAAAAGCAAGAGAAAAAAGTTCAAAAATTCCGTTGCCGGGAATCGAACCCGGGTCTCCTGGGTGAAAGCCAGATATCCTAACCGCTGGACGACAACGGATTTCTGTTCATTACCTCCAACATTATTTATATAAATTCTATTGTTTTTTGGAAGATAGGAACTCTTCTTTTGGGTTGTTAAATTGGCAGGTCTAAGCCCTCCTTATTAAACGCTGCATACATGTCCATTTCGTCATCATCTAGAATACAATTCAAAGAGAATGGCTTAGAGCTCAAGTAGTTAAAAGTATTTATCCTTACACCCGTAGTTCTAAGTTCGATTCCTCCCAAATAAAAATACGGTTCACAGAGACTAGAGCATTTTTAGAAACAATGCTGAGTTTAACTCTAGGAGAGAGGAGGACTCCAATGTAGCTTAATAACCCTAAGAAATGAATAATTTCTTGAGAAAACTTAAAATAAGAATGAACAATAAAAACAAACCGTATTAATTGAAGAAAGAAATAAACAGCTTCGTTGTTGAGATCGAACTGGGGTCTCCTGGGCGAAAGCCAGTAATCCTAACCGCTGGACGACAACGGATTCTGGACTAATCATTCAAGAATTCTTTGTTTGAAACCGTTGCATAATCAAAACACTTTATTCTTCAAATAACGTAACTCATTGCTAAAAATTTACATGGAATCCTTTGATATGTGCAGCCCTACAAAGAATTTAACATAACAAAACTTGTACGGCTTTCCAGAAAGGAGTGAATTTCTTTTCTCCCTTCAGTCCAGTACTTGGATGATTCCAACTTCTATAAGAGCGGGAGAAGATGTGTTATATTTTCCTCTATCATATCTGCATCAAGGTGCCGATTATACTTGAAAACAGTGGTTGGCCATTCATCTTAAGCCCCAAGGATAACATCCTTGTTTCAGCACAGCTGCCAATTAGCAAAGAAGTCACCTCTACCTTTGAATTAGCCCATAACCAAATCTGCTATAAATCAAAGAACCAAAGTTCCATATCATATCTCCTTGCCCTCTGAAGGAACACAAAGTTCTATGGATCCTATACGAGGGATTCTGACCATATCCGTTTATTCTCCAGTGAAGTATACAAGTAAATGCTTCTATATAGTATAACCCATGCCTGCTGCTCAGTTTGAAAGCAGCTCATCTCTCTCCATGTGACTGGCAAGAAATGTGAGACATTCACATACCATTTCTGATTGTGGGTGGGACTTGTCTCCGACAAAGAAAGGGTGGATCTTCTTGTTAATCTCAATCCAGCTACACCCTGGATTTTTCCTTAATCCCAATTCTTTCATCTTCAATCTCACCTTCTTTACCTCATCCCATTTTTTGACAGAAGCATAAGTATTTGATAACATGATATAAGTTGAATGATCATCGGGATTCTTCTCAATTAGCAATCTTGCAATTTTCACACCCAAATCTAGATCTCTATGCAAACGACATGCGGAAAATAGTGTGCTTAACAAGTCAACATCCTCCCTAATTTCTGAAGTTCTTTGGAGAATTTCATAAGCTTCATTCAATCTTCCAGCACGTCCAAGAAGATCTATCAAGCAAGAGTAATGTTCTATTCTAGGTTTAATTCCATAGCTGGTGATCATTTGATTGAAATAGTGACAACCTTCATCAACTAGCCCCACATGGCTACAAGCAGATAGAACTGCAAGAAGAGTAACTCCATCAGGTTTTGCATTGGATTGCTGCAATTCACCAAAAAGCTTTAAAGCTTCTAAAGCTTGACCATGAGATCCATAAGCAGTGATCATGGAGGTCCATGAAACAAGATCTCTATCTGGTAATCTATTAAAAACATTAAGTGCTTCATCCACTGCACCACATTTAGCATACATGTCAAGGAGAGCCCCCATCATTATTTCATTGGTTTCAAACTCACTATCAATTACAGTTCTGTGAATCTCCTTACCCTTTTCCAGTGCTGCTAGTTGTGAACAAGCCGATAAGATACTAGTTACTGTGATGGCATTTGGCCTTACACCAGCTTCTTTCATGTCATCATATATGGCCAGAGCCCCAAAATAATCACCCACTTTCACATATCCAGAAATCATAACATTCCAGGAAACTGTATTTGTCTTAGGCATCTTTTCAAAGACATTTTTAGCTGATGACACACTTCCAGACACGAAATAGAGATCAATAAGTGAGCTGTAAATGTAGATATCAGCCTCTATAAGGTTTCTTATCATGAATGCATGTATGAATTTTCCATGAAGCAGTTGGGCTGACCTTGAACAGGCCAACAATATGCTGCTAAAAGTAGTTAAAGTGGGACTCGTTCCTTCATGATTCATCCTTCTAAAAAGTTGGATACAAGATATACTGTCGCCAGTTACACTGTATGCTGCGATCATAGAATTCCAAGCAACCACATTCTTTATTGGGATTTGCTCAAAAACATCTTTAGCCATATCTAAACATCCGCATTTTCCATACATGTCCACAAGAGCAGAAGTAACAAAAGAATCCAAAACCAACCGATCTTTTATCAACTCCTTGTGAATTGTCACACCTCTCTCCAAATCAAAAAGCCTTGCACATGATGAAATAACGGTTGTCAGCGTTACTGAATTAGGCGTAAAGCCAGAGTTCCTCATCTTTTCAAACAATTCCATTGCCTTTTGAGCTTGCCCATCTTGATAATAACAAGAAATTACAGTATTCCAACATGCCACATCCCTCTCAGGCATTTCATCAAACAGCCGTATAGCACAGTCAAACACGTTGCATTTAGCATACATGCACACAAGAGAGCTGGCAATCACAATATCTGATACGAAACCAGTCTTTATCAAATGGTTATGGATCATTTTCCCAAAACCAACTTGACCCAATGCACCACAGGCCTTAAGAACACTTGGATAAGTGTAACTATCAGGACCAATATAAGGGTAACGCAGCAAACTTTCAAAGAGCTCAAGAGCCTCAACGAACATGTGGTTCTTCGTGAAACCTGTCATGACGCCATTCCACAAGGAAATACTGGATGGGTTTTCGATGGATTGGAAAACAAGCTTTGCCCTGTCACAAAAATGGCAAGAGAAGTAAAAGTTTATGAGGTTTTTGCAGAGGGCATGGTCGTTCTGTAAGCCCAGAGTGAGCATCTTTTGGTGGATGAGCTTGCCTTGCTTCAGCGACTTGGAAATGATACATGTCCTTAAGAGACTTAATAATTTTGCGGCGTCCATTGAAGATGTAGCAGAAAAAAGCCGACGGGAATGACGGAAAATATTCTTTAATGCAACTTTAATGTAAGCGTGTGTGTGTGTGTTTTGTTGGTGGACGAAGAAATGGGGATGAAGTAGTCACTGATTTTGTGAAATAGCTGCGAGGGAGGACTGAAGAGTTAAATGTGATTGTCGTGAATAGCAACACATGCATACATATGCCACTCACTCGAAAGCAACCAACCACAGCCAGCCACACTTCAGTTTCAAATCCTACCAGCATGCGTAGATTAGTACAAGGAATGGGTTATGTTTTAGTTGTGCCTAGTTTTAATATAAAAAAGCATGTACTAATCTACGCACAACTATTAACACTCCTATAATAAATCTTTTACTTCTATAAATTAAGTAAAATCATGTAATTACAATCTATTAAAATTATAACTAAAATCAATACATGAAATTAGGGAGCCAAAAGGGTCTCGGCTTACAGACCAATGGTCTCATATTCGAACCTCATGAAACCTGTATAGAGAGAGAGAGAGAGAGAAAACATATTCCCCTTGTAGTTTAGGCTATCACTTGTATTTTTATTGATGGTTGATAGTTCCATGGTATTGGGGCATGGTGAGCTATGACTATGCTTAACAGCAAATCCTTGGGGTTTTTCTGACCACTTGCTCAGAATGTTTAGAAGGGAACTCAAATGGAAAAGGGATTAGAGTGTAGATGAGTTGCACATTTGTGTCAACATTATCTGTGATAGAAGATTCCTACAAAGCCAATAAGAGGATATGGAAGGGGTATCCGTTTCTTTCCCATGCTTTGGACTCAAAATAATGGGCTTGGATCATAGGCTCACCCAAGTGGCTCATAATTGATATTACTTGATGTCCACGCGTGGGCCTTGAGAATCACCGAACCTTTCACACCACAACCCACTTGCAAGTCTCGGAGTATGGTTGTGACCCATAATTTTTTGGATCGAAATTGAAACCCACGAATTCCTATCAAATATGTCCGAAAATCAGGCCCAGTTCTAACGTATCTATCTTGCTAATATTTTCTTTATAAACTGCCCCACTCACGCACCATACAGAACGGCCTGTATATGCAACCCAATTTTTCATTATTAGTATTATTGTTTTTGCTCAGACTAATTTTTCGTTATTGACATGATGATTTATAGAAGAAATATTATTATTGGTTTCATTTTCTACTTACGTTAAAAACTTTATAATAAAAAATCGGTGATCGTCTCAACCTAGCATGGGTGGAACTAGCAACAAGGCTACCATGGGATCTAGCCTAGGTAGCCTTTTAAAAAACATTTAAAAATATTATATGTATTTTAATGTGATTTCACTCTATAAAAGATTAGGGCCCGTTTGGTAACGTTTTTGGAGAATGTTTTCCTAAAATATTTTCAGAGAATGAAAACAAGACAATGAATTTGCATTTTCAAGGAATGAAAATGTTTTTGGTAGATTAATTAGAAAACATCTTCAGAAAACAAAAACAATGAAAATGTGTCTAGTAGTACAATTTGAAATAATAATACGTGAGTTATTTTTACGAAAACGTTTTCCATGAGAATGAAAACAACTTTTTTCTGTTTTCTACAAGTACACATGAACTTGTTTTCATTTTATGAAACATTCTCAGTGTTTTCTGCTTTTGGGCCACCGAAAGTGTTTTTGCCTAATTTTTGTTCTTTGAAAATGAAAATCACCTCTTAAAACGTTACCGAACGGGGCCTCAATCTACCCAAATGTAGCCTAATAACCCATTGTCTATTCAACCTATAGGCTTATAATGATCTTATATTTAATTTGTTTGCTCACTTAAGAGCATCTCCAATGGAGCTGCCAAATAATATGTATCAAAATTGGATTTGATAGCTGATAACTGTAGTCAATGGAACTATGAACTAGTATAGTTTATATTATTTATTTTTGTTATTCACTAGAGAGGAAGAGTATTATATTGAGTTGCTTCAAGATTATCTCCTACATGAATCGAACCCAGATGCACTTGGAGAGTAGGGAGAGTTTGACCCACTTTTCGACTGTTGTGTCACCCCATGTGCATGGTTTATATGATTTAATGTATACTTTTATTTCTAAAAAAATTATAGAAATTGTAAGTGAAAAAACAAAAATTGAGCATTAGAATTTAAGCTAAAACTTTAGCTAACCCACTGTTGAAAAATTCTTGATTCTGCCCTTGCAATCTAGTGCACCACAACTATTCATTCCTTTAGTTGGGACGTCATTTTATTAATTAGGACTGACCACGGAGAATGAAAGAGATTTGCTCAAATTTTCATGTCGGAGATATCAGATTAATCAAGATTTGTCTTTCGACGTAAGTTTGTCTTTCGACATACAGTAATCAAGAAACTTATAGCTCAAGTGGTTACTTACACATTAAAACCCCATTCCCCAATGTCATTTATATCAAGAAATAAAAAACCATCGCATTTCGACATATATTACAAGTTACAGCTGCTTATATCATTACCTGAACACATTTATAAACCATTGCCGAAACGAAAGAAACAAATCTGCAGACGCACTCGCTTATGGAATTTACATGGCGGCTGCTTTCCACAAAAGCCAGCAACCTAATAGGAATTTACATTTCTCACCCTCAAACCCCCACACAAGGAACATAGGGAAAAAATGGAATACAAACTCAAGGTGAAAAAAAAAAAAAAAAAAAAAAAAAAAATAGAGATCAAGGAAAAATGGTACAAAAAACAAAAGGCAATCAAACCCATCTAAATTCTCTCTCCTATACCAAGCCTTGCTTCTCTCAATCCTTTATAAGAATAAAAGCCAATGCTAATTAACCAGTACGACCTTAGTAACCCAAGCTTGAATCTGAAAAAAGATCATTTCATGTACAAATGACTGTTTCACATATCAGCGAGCCAAGTCCTCACTCCCGACGCCTACACTAGATTTGTCTACCATGCGCACATTGTATTGTTCATGCACTCTTGCCCGGTTCTCTGCCCACCAATCTTCTGCTTGTTTCTCACTAAATCGCTTCCGACTGCATTCAACAATGATAAAGAGTTGAATACTCTAAGTATACAGATTTTATGGTAAATTTATATAATGGATCTAAAAGACACTAAATCTCTCTATATTTACACATACACATATATACAGATGAAAATGTTTTCGTGCTAGACAATTTTATGTTGCAAAATATTTCTTGCCTGAAAGTGTAGCCCAAATTCATACGTGCCAGTCTGACAAGAAAACATTATCCTTGTATATATGCACTCCCATCAAAAAGAAAAATCCAACCACATGAACGCACATATATAGTTATGTAGGTAAGTACAGTATACCTGAAGCGGACTCGCTTGAGATCCTTTGCACCTCCTGGTAGGGAAGTCAGTGTAATATATACACCAGGCTCATCTTGCTCAACCCATTCAGATTCATGACGAGATTCGTTTTCTTTAATTCTATTCCCGTTTCTAGTTGCTACATCAGGATGGACTTGTTTGTTGTGACCTGAACTGCGGGTACCAGTGGTGCCGGACCCATTAGAAAGCAACTGGCTATTTGATCCATTGGAGTCTGGTTCTTGACATGTTACTTGACCATTCAATCGGTCAGTCAAAGCACAAGAAACTTCATTGGAAGGATCAGAACCCAAGGAAGAAGCAAGAGAAGGTGATTTAATATTCCGCACTGCTCCAACAGGCAGCCTTTCAGCCATGTCCTTCAACTGGTCACCATATAGGAAACACAAAATGAACCATCAGCAAGACTAGGCCAACCAGAGCATAAGTGAAAATACACAGTAAGCTTTATTACAACGGTCTGACCACTTAATGGATCTCCAGAACTGACTCGGGAAAATTACATCAAACAGTAGATAATTTACACGTGACAATGAAACATCATCCCATGTGGTTTAACATGTAAAACACATTTGTTATGACGTGAGATAGAACAACTTGAATATCTAGCAGAGATACTAACCAAGCAGCCACTACATGTCAAATGAAAACCATAAATCAAACTGAGGTGAACCCATTTCTTTACTATTTCTGGTAAAAAATAACTCTAGCTAGAATTCAATCGTGTATTTATCAAGAACAATTATTTATCAATCTAACTGACTGACTACATTTGACACAATGGTTGGAAAATAACAATTATTTGTCAATCTAACTAACAGGCTACATTTGACACAATGGTTGGTGAATTTCAATGACTATTTTACCAACACACATAAACATCTATCTTACTTGGGCGGTAAGCGACTGGATCACTTCCTTTGCTGCTTTGCATTTTGCAGTCTCTGCACCCGCAATTGCTATTGCTTCCTTCAGCTGCTTAGTTGTTCTTTCCAGCTCAACCTCTTGTAGTCGAGCTTTTCGAGTAAGACTTTCAACCTAAGAGATAAAAACTAGTCAGACATAATGCACAAAGACAAAATTGAACAAGCCTAATATGAATGTTGGGTCCTAGATAATGAATATGAAGGGTAAGGACAGCCCAACAACATTTCTTAGATCAAAGTAGAATCATAAAATCAATTATTTAAGAAAACAGTCATGTTGCTACAAATTGAAAAACTAACATGATTATTTCAATTGCTTAATTTTTCTCTTTCCTTTGTTTTCTCTCTTGCTGTGTTTCTTATCTTATCTAAGAAAACAATCATTTTTCTATTTGAAAAACTAACATGATTGTTTCACTTTCTAGCTTTTGCTCTTTCTTTTTCTTATTGTTAATTGCTTAGTCACTTGAGCACAAAAACTCATGCATCACTGTCTGCCTCTAATTTGAAAATAACAAAATTCAAATTCAATTACCTGTTGATGAATTTTTGTCCAGAAAAATTATGGCTAGTTGCCATCTTGATTTTTTTGAAATTCTATCGCTTATTAAATTATATTTGGCACTCATTTGATCAGAAGGCATATTTCATCTTTGTGTCAAGAAACAATTTCTTTTGTTGGGAGGGGAGGGGGATTTTGGTATCTACTA